TAGAAAACCTGCCAAGAAAACTGGAGGGACTAGTCCAGGGAGTTGCCAGGAGTCAAGACTGACTTGAAGGCACAAAACAGGACAAAACACTGTATTGGAACTGACCCCCCCCCCGCAAACCATTAGAAAGTACTTATATGCTCATCTCCCCCAAAATCATGAATACTTTAGTTCCTGTGTACTTTTATATAAAAGTATCTGTGTATCTTTACTGTAAGTTGGATAAATGCATAAAAATTCTATTTCCAAGTAAGGATTTCTAACCACATGCTCAGCAAAATGTAGTTTGAGCTCCAGTTCACATCTGAGGAGATGTATTTATATTATTTAGGGTTTTTAAAATCAAATTGAGCAATCAGGGAAAAAGGTAATTTGAATAATTGGGGGTTTTATTAATTTGCATTTCTACTTACTAAGCATTTTGAGGTGTGATGAGTTTACTGAATGCCCACGCTATTTGCTTATGCTTTAAAACTTCCTGTGGTTCATATTCAAAGTAAGAATTGACATTGATAGGTTTTTTTTAAGTCACTGATATAAAGATATAGTGCATGCTAAGTTGATACTTTTGTATTTGGGTGCAATTATTCATATTGTAATTCGACAATCTAATACAAGTATTGATAATTTAGGAATCTTTAAAATGTATACCTTGTAATTCCTCCACAGTTCTCTCTTTCCATGAAAGCGCAAGCTATTAATAGTCAAATGAAATGTTTCAACAGCAAGGAAGGCAAGAAAGTGTTTGACTGGTTTCAGCACCTTGTTGTGATGCTTCAGTACAACTGATAAAAGACTGGGTTGCTAGGAATTTTCAAAGCAACCAGAAATAAGAGTAAATTTAAAAACTTGCAAAAAGTTGAACACTATAAATCATAATGGTTGTCCCAGCAGATACTGGCAACCGTTTTTCTCCTCAAGGGCCACGTTCCCTTCGTAGGAATACATTGGGCCATACAATGGTGGTAGGTAGTGCTAGTATCATTATTTAATTTATTTCCAATTGCCTTACAGAGGAAAGACTTTGAAAAATGTGCTTTCCTGAACCTCCTCTTTCTGTGCGGGGGAGAAAAATTGATTGTTTCCTGGGCAAACAAGGCATTGCCAAAGAGAGCCTGCCAGCTGCTAGAAATTTGTTGGTCTGCCACTTGCCTACAGATTCCACGATATTCCTGCTTCACCTTTCCACCCGATGTCATCCTTTTCATGTTATGAATTTAGGTTGCCTTGGTACATCCCATTTTACATGCCCTACTGGAATCCCATGGGAAGTCATGAATGGATGCCCTTGGAACCTGTGCTTGCTAAAAGTTCTTCGAAGGCTTTGAACCGTGTCTTTGAAAATGCCCCTCCCCTTCCTTTTTCTTCCTTTCTTCTTTCCTACCTTCCTTCAATTTATGTAGTTGCCCATCTCACAAAATGACTCTGGGTGCCTTACAGCAAGTAAAAGCAATACGGAACATAATGTAAAATATGCAAACGTAACATAGCAGTTGAGAAACCAAACCAATCTGAGGAGGAATATCTGGCCAAACTGATCATGGCATAATACTCAGAACTCTAGCACACAAACTCAAGACTACCAGTTTTACATTCTCACCATAGAAAACTCCTGGCACACCTTACGGCTAGAGGCATGTATATTCCAGCTCTTAACTAGTTGCGTGCCTTTTGATCATGATCCCATACTACGTTATCCTGTTTCTGTACTTAGAAATGAATGCACTTAGCGTAGGAAGTGTGTGCTGCTACAACCCACACATCCATCTTTCCATGTGTGTTTGTTGCTCCATGACAGTAATGCAATATAAGTGAAAAATATTTTAGATCTTCCAGGCAAGACCAACTTGTTCATGAATCTCTTAAAATTGTTCTTGCTACAATAGATACAAAAAAGAGAAGAACAAAACGACAGACTGCATCACGCTGCTAAACAAAATGTAAATAAAAGAAAAAGAGCCCCCCCAAAAAACCAGCAACAATGTAAAAATAGACACACAACGAAGATAATATTACAATTATATGTAAAAGCAACTCAGTTTTTAAACAACAAATGGTGCCCAGATTCAGTACAATTCCTTCTGACATGAAAAATAAATTATTTTGGGATAATCCTGGAAAATCAGAAGTAATGTTTCTTTTTCCTTGGGTAGAAAACATTATTGATACTCTATAGCCAAGAAGTGTTAATGATTCCTTTATCACATTTGTGGTACCAAGAGGCACCTGAACTGTCTAAAACTGCAGAAAAGCATCACATTCAGTTAAAATATCTTTCCATTTCTCAATTTGAACCCGATGCATCAGCTTCTGAAACTCCCAAATTACTTGTATGGGAAAGTTTTGGAAGAATTTAAATCTACAATTTATTTCTCTAAAAAGCTATTATGACAACTCATATTACAACAAGCAATCGCTTTTAATTTTAAAGAATGTTAAATAGGTTTCTTCTAAGCCCGAAAAGAGAATTTTTTTTTTTTTTTGTATTAATTGGGAATTAGTGGATGTTTAAAAAAAGGTATTGGTGTCAATCTTTTTGTTGTGATATGTTTTGGGGTGCTTTTAAAATCATATATCCCTAGCACTTCATATCTCAAAACATCACTATAAAACTCATCATAAATTAAAACATGCATGGTAAAACGACGAATTAATATAACAAAACTAAAAAACTTACTGACCTCAGTCTTAATCTGTTGCTTGGAGGCGACCAACATGGGGGCTAACCAAACTGAGCCTGTTCCACAAAAGAGCTGTCGCTGAGAAACAACATCTGCCAGCTTTGGCCCCCTTCACCTCACTGAGGCAGAGGACCTCCAGAAGTTTTTCTCCACAATGATCTTATCTGGTTGGAAGAGGCAGGCACACAAATACTTAGTATTTATGGTGACAAACCATAAAGGGCTGAATACCAGCTTTTGAGTTGCACAGGAACCTATTGGGAGCCAGTTCAGGGCCTGCAGCGCTGGTGTGAGGCCCTCGTGGTGATGAATGCCAGACAGCATACAGGCTGCTGCAGCTTCCAGATGGTCTTCAAAGGCAGCCCCAGGTACAGCTTATTGCAGTAGTCCATAGGAGGATGTGAGGTATTGCAGAGGGTATGGTGGGTGGCCTTGAAGGACAGAGGGAGGATTTGTTACCAAGGCAATGATCAGATAAACATGGCTTGAGCCCAGACACCTTAGCCCGCCCTCTCTCCTTCTACCCCCATTCACATGAGATAAAAGAGGGAGGAAGGGAAACACATTCAGACTTGCAAGATTCTGTTACTATAGCTGTTCTAATAAAAGTAGCTTTAGGCCCACACTGTGTTTGTTTCTTGGTCTGGTCTACTTTAAAGGAGGGTTTAAAGGTATCCTCCCAACCCAGCTACATCTACCACTGGCACACCAGCCAGAATTAGGTGTAAGTCATCCTGGCAATGGCTTCAACTTGTCCATCTAGGAGGACCCACATTTGTGGATTTCCTCCCTTAGAGGTGGTCCCTTCCCATCAAGAGGCACTGCTACAGCTTATTGAGCAATTAGAAACAACATATCAGTTTGGTTTGGTTCAGATTTAGCATGTTCCATCCAGGCCACAACAACCTCCAGAAAGAACTTGATAGCATCCTTGTTTCA